AATGTGTGCAAATGTGCATTTTGTCCGTCATTAAAACGGCGGCGTTACGTTTTCATCACCAGGTGTTTGTTGTAGCTATATGGGCGCAGCACTCAGTTTCAAATACATAAATTATGAGCCTTTATAGACATAGTGTTTCTTGCATAAAGAAAACGCTGTACTTATTCAAACAACAAGATCTTTATTTACCCTTGCAGACCTAGTTCAGCTGCTGTGGAACTTCAGTTCATTCAGTCAAGATAGAGGGGGTGGAGTTATGAGGTTTACTGACAGTTTGAGCGGATCCAACAAGATTTAGTCACAAGCTCTTTTTAATACCTTTCATTAGCTAAATATTTGTAAAGCAGACAGACAGATGTAAAGGGTGACCAATATCATTGATTTACTGAAGGAAAAAAAACACCATCACCAAAAAAAGGGCACTTCGGCGTGTAAGGGCAAAAAGGGCATGTGCTCTGCACAGGTTGAGCCCTACCTGTGCACATGCCTGGTGCAGTCAAACACACATTCACACAGTTTATACATTTACACTTAGTGAAGGTTGAAGGGAACTTCAAATGTCTTTAGACAACAACATTTACCATTTTCAGATTATTTATAAAATCTTAATGTCTCTGATGGCAGGCATAGTTTGTAGGGACAAAGGCAACAAAAGCATTAACCAGAAATTATCCATAACAAATTTTTAGAATATTTGAATTTGTTTTATTAAATATATTTAAAATACTGCAATGCAAAAAATATGTAATTTAATAATTATTATATTATATTATATTATATTATATTTGGTATGTGTTTTGACTTCAACATTTTTTGTTACCCCTTACAAGTTTTTCTTGTTTAAAACAGGTTTCTGCTTCAAAAAATGAAGGAAAAAAATGGATCGTACAGAGCAAAACATAAGTTAGAAACTACTCTGACGTAATGTGAAAATATAACCACTGAAATATTGTTTTGAAATCATCTCTTCTTGTCACACTCATTGAGCTTCATTAATAAGAGATGAAGAGATATGAGTAAACGGTCTGTATCAAACTTAAACCGGTTAGGTTTGACCCAATTCCCTGCTTCTGCTCACTGAGCAAATTAATGAGAAAGAAGTCCATCATGAGGGCCACGTGTGGTTATGTGTACATGTGTGTGTGGAGCTGTGCGTGTGTGTGCCCATGAGAGCCATTAAGATATCGAGCAATAGCCCTTTTATCAATGACAGCACAGCTGTGCCAACACAGTTCTGGAGTCTTCTTGTCCAGTTTGATTCACATAATAATGAATGATATGATGCAGTGGCAAAAACATCACATTTACCTCAACTGCTCTCCTACTCTCCTTTTTTGTATCTATATTATCTTTTGATTGGTTCAAGGGATCATGAGAATTAAGTAAATTTATGACCACTGTAACACTCTGTATCTTTCCCAAAGAAATGCACTTTGCCCAACTAAGACAATTACTATGCTGGTCTAAAATGTGTGTGTGTGTTTTGCTGCTGTAAACATTGGAGGGTCTGAAAGTAGTATATCTAGATAGTATAGGCAACAAGACACATCCAGTCTATTAAAGTGTCTGGTCGGATTTTGAAGCTAGCACATATTTGCTGTTTGTGGGACCCCACAATCCTAAGGTATTTTTTGATCTTATGACTCATTTTCTGTTGAGAAATAAGCAGTGTAGACACAAAATATTTGCTTTGTCTAAAGTTCACTTGAATTTGTTCTAGATCATTAGACATGACAGTATATGCCTTGGAGGCCTGTCTAAAAACCGGATACAGGTACACTGTAAAATATTTCCACCCACCTTAACTTAAAAAACTTAAGCTCAGTTGCTGTCGCAGGTGTCGCCAATATCAAGGGTTTCTGAATTGTGCATATATGTTTAAGTACAATCAAATTGGCTGTGCAAGTAATTTCAACAAATTATATTCAACTGACTTTTGTTGAATCTGCTGAATCTGGTATAACTTAAAAAAATAAAGTTGAAATTGGTTAAATCAGAAATAAATAAATCAGCGATGCCCCCCTTTAAGAACAATGTGGATTTACTTTTAAATTATAACATTTAGATATAAGTTTAGCATGTTCAGGATGATAATATCAATGTTTTATTGTTTTCTTTTAAATATTTAAAATAATAAATTTACAAATAATAGCCTAACAATAGTAACAACATGCCACTTGGGGTCTTCTGTGCCAATTCTGGGGTAAAGTCATCTTACCCCAAGGGTCTAATTGTATCTTCTTTTTTTTTTTTTTTAAATAGGCACAAAAACATAATTTCATAGATCACTTTTGTTGTGTATATATCACTATGGTGACTATGCTGTGTGTGTGTGTGTGTATGTGTGTGTGTATATATATATATATATATATATATATAAAACAATTTAGGTTTTCATTTCAGAGTATTTATAGTGTTGTGCAACTGATAGACGTATTTCTGTTTTTCTACTAGCTGAAAGATGTTCCAGTTCATACGGAAACAGATTCACAATCACCTTGTGGAGCGGAAAATTAGGAGAACTCGTTTTGTTACCAAGGACGGCCACTGCAACATTAAATTTGGGACTGCTGAATATCACAACCATTTTGCTTTCCTTATGGACTTCTGGACTACATTTGTTGAGATTCACTGGTGTTTTGTAATTGTTTTATTTGCCGCTGCCTTCACGGGAAGACATGTTTCAGATGAACTGCAACGGTGCTCAAGCCGTTATGGTTACTTCCTCAGGCAAACGTGACTTGTTCTGTTTAGTGGCAGGGGGAAAAAATGG